CTTGAGTCCTATGATTTCTTCTCTCCTCACCCTTTGGACACATCTGTCATTACCTCCTTGAACCTGTTTCTCATTGGCTTCGGGATGACCCTGGAGCACCAGTGTCCTCAGGCTGATAGCATCATGAACTACACAGTCATCCAAAGTTCTGATCTACAATGTACAGGCCCTGTCTATCCACTCCTCCACTTTCTCAGCAAACCCCACGTATCTGCCACATGGGCTCAGGGTTGCCTCCCCATGATGAGTCATAAGCTTACAGCCCCAGCTAAAGCCACATAATGACCCTGAGCTCTCCAGAAGACCCGATTCTCTCCAATTAGTTACTGGTCTCTTTAATTCTAGAACTCTCCTCTGACCCCCACAAACCCACAGCCTCCCAACCTGTGTACCCTCCAGGAACCCTCGACTGGAGCACCTTGGCTTCTGTGTCACTTGGCCTCTGACCTTGTCCTATCATACCTTTTGCCAAACATGATGCTCCTCCCGGCTTCTCAAGTCCTTACACTGCTTGGCCTGTTTTTGGAACCAATCCAACCATCACTTTTCACATACAGCCTTTCTTGAAACCTGCTTCTTGAACCAGATCGTCTGAGCCCTTACTGCTCTGTGATATGGATTTGTAGAGATGGTTTGTAACAGATTAGTGCCTGTGTTTAGTGTTTGGTCTTCTGGCACTGGATCCTTCATGGCATTCTTTATTTGTATATATAATTTATTTTTATTTTATTTGCATTGGTGTTTTGCTGCATGTATGTCTGTGTGAGGGGGTCAGATCTTGGAGTTACAGACAATTGTGAGCTGCTGTGTGGATGCTGGGAATTCAACCCAGGTCCTCTGGAAGAGCATCCAGTGTTCTAAACCACTGAGCCATCTCTCCAGCCCCTTATTCTTTATTTGTAACACCTACTGGAAATGGCCTCTCCTATAGATGAGGATATGAGGGTCTGAGAAGTTCATCTGCTGACAACTCAGCCCTCACGGATGGAGGTCTTGCATTTCTCCTCTGTTGCTGTGTTCACATTGCCTCAGAACTTCATGGCTTACAGGTTTAGGGATATGACTCAGTTGGTAAAGCTCTTTGCCAGCATGCATGAAGCCCTGGGTTCAATCCCCAGCAGCCCATAAAGTGGGTATGGTAGCCCATGAAAGTAGTCCTAGATCTTGAGCAACTGACAGGAGCAGGAGTTTGAGGTCGCCCTTACTTCAGCTGCATAATGAGTTTGAGTGTGACCGTGTCTCAAAAACCTTCATGGGTGAAAATAACAAATATTATCCTACCCAATTATGAACATCAGGAATCCAGGATAACAGAAGGGCACTGGTCAGGCCTCCCATAAAGTTATACATTGTAGGTGGCCTTCATGCTCCACAGGTACTGTGGGATTTGCTGACCAGCAGGCCCTTCATGGGCTGATGTGCAGAAACCTTTGGTTTTTTGCCAGGCAGACCCCGTACAAGCTGCCCCTGAGTCTTCAGTTCATGGACGCCGGATTCCCTAGGCGCATGATCAATCAAGAGAACAAGAAGGCGGCTGTGGTGCCGTCCATTACCTCCCTGTGAGTGCACGTAACCATCGCCAATGTCTAGCTATAGATTCAGGTCATCCCTGTTCCACAGAGGCTGGACTAGCCTGGGCACAGAAAGCCAGTGACAGATCAGAGACTGTAGAGGCCTCTTCTCTTACTCACCAGGTGCCAGGTGTCCTCAATGCTCTCAAGGCTGGGCCTTCCCAGGACACCAGTCCAATCTCCCCCACAACAGGCAACGGCGGCTCCCAGAGCAGTCTGCAGAAGGTAATGTGTTCACAGCTTGCGGAAGTTCCCCTCATGAGCCAGCTCCTGCCAGCCAGATCTGTGTTGTGCTTCAATCAAGTGAGAAGGTGTGACCCAGACACCCCCAGCAGCTTGTGCTCATTAAGCTGGAGGTGCAAAGGACTAAGGGGGAGGGGCTGAGTCTCCTTCCAAGATGCTCCAGCTATGAGATTTTTTTTCCTGGGAAGGGCAGGTATATATATGGGAGGGGAGAGCAGGTGTCTGGAGTATGGAGGCATGTGACATGGGGAAGTGCCTGAGGTCTGGTGTCTGAGCTGTGAGGTGTGGTGTAGAATGTACAGAGTCATCTTGACCACCAGAACCCAAGGTGAAAAAAAATAAGGTTGTATTTTGAGATGAGCTGAAACTGCCATGTGGGATAGCTCAGCCACCTCCTCTGGGGGCAAATGGGAATTGTCTTCCTGCCCAAGGCTGCAGGTGCTGCTGTCTGGCTACTTCCATTAATCCCACATCTGTTGATGGGCACCTGCCCTGGACCACTATGGGGAGCCAGTGTTGGGGATGACAAGATTGATGGTAGTTCACACTTGAGCAGCAGTAAGTGTTATGGTTCTTCATGTTCATAGCCTCCCTCTGGAGCAGGACGGGTGGGCAACTGCTGCATTTCCATTCTTTCATCTGCTAAGTTGAAGGGGCTACCTAATCCACTGTGCCAGGCTCTCGGTGGCCTCCTCTCTGCTGGATCTTTTGAATTTCCTTCATGACTTCCCTTTTTCTGTTGCTTCCACTTTCCCTTCCTGAAGCTTCAAATCCTGCCTGCTCGACTCCCCAGCAGGCCCCCCAATGTCTTCACCCTCTGCTCCTGCCTCAGCCTTTTGTCCAGTCTCTTGTTTCCAGCCTTCCAGTGCAGGATAATGCTTGGCCACTGGCCTTCCTAGTCCTCAGGTCTTCAGGAAGTGCTCTGTTGGAGAATCTTGCTCTCTGTCTTGTGTGAACTTTGTACCTCACCTCTAATTACAGTAATAGGGTTGTTTTGGAGTTGTCTTCAGGTGGCCATCCCTGCTCTCTTTGTTTTTTTCTGACTGTGTTAGCCTACAACTCTCATGTTAGTGGCTATCTGGCTAACCTCAAATGTCTGGTCATTACCCGACAGCTTGTGCTATGGTCACTGAAATGCTAATCAGAAGTTCAAGGAATAGGTGGGACTGGAGCCTGTTAGGCTACCCCTGCAGTGACCACTGAGACTCCCTACTACCACTATCCTTTCCAGTGTCACCATTCTGTTCATATAAAGAATGGGTTTCTTGTTGTTTAAGTGTGTGTGTGTGTGTGTGTGTGTGTGTGTGTGTGTGTGTGTGTGCTTGCATGTATGTATCCACAGAAGTAGGACCTCCCTGGAGCTAGAGTTACAAGCAGTTGTGAACTTCCTAGTATAAGTGCTTGGAATCAAACCCAAATCTTCTGGTAGAAGAATATATGCTCTTAACTTCTGAGCCATTTCTCTATCCCTTCTGTCTCTTTTGTTTTGTTTTTGAGATAAACTTATGTAGCTCAAGCTGGCTTCAAACTCTCTATGTAGCCATTTAACCATGAATTTCTAATCATTTTATTTCCACATCCCAAATGCTGGGATTATAGGCATGCACCACCATGTCTGGTTTATGCAGTACTGAGGATCAGACCCAGGGTCTTCTGCTAGCAAGTGGACCACTTCTAACCCAAATCTATATTCTTGACAGTCCCCAGGGCCCAGGAATTACAGAAGCTGACTCACAACTCCAGGTCATGTCTAGGTCTGTGCTTTTGGTGAAGACCTTTAAGCATGGAAGTCCTGGGGCCTAGGGTGTACATTCCAGTGTTAGACACTGTGATTGATGCCAATGCTCTGTCTCTTCCTCTCTGTGATCTCATTTACTAAAAAGACCAAAAAAAAAGGAAACAACGTTCCCTAGAAACCGTATAATTTCAGAAGCCACCTGAGTTGTGTACATGGCTGTGGTAAAGGCACCAAGTGCTCTCCTGAGAAGTCCACATCCATACTTGGGTATATACCATCTTTGCCCTAAATGAGTACCCGCCCCCAATCAGTCTGTATCAATGTCTATGCTTAAAACTATGCTAAAACCATGTCTTACTACTCCAGCTTTGCTTCACTGACATCCTGAAACCCGGAGTCAAGAATCCCAAATTTTACTGATGTGGAGGTCTGTGAAGCTGGTCCAGGGGCTGCAGGTGTTGGGGTTGTGTCTCTAGCTTCCCTGCCTCTGATAAATGCACTTAGTGTCTAGCTTTCAATGTTTTTCTTTACTGTACCCTAAAGCTGGTTGTGGTGGCACAGATATGAAATCCCAGTACTCAAGAGGCTAAGGCAGGAATTTGATGCCAGCCTTTGCTATAGAATGAGCCTTGCCTCAAAAGAAAAGAAAAAGAAAAAGAAAAAGAAAAAGAAAAAGCCCCTGCCACAGTTCCTGAGTTCCTGTGAGGAGGAATTCTCACACAATGTGTCACAGATTTAAAAATCACCTTTAACATGAAGACTCCCAGCTGCAAGCCAAGGAGCCCCTCTTCAGGGACCAAGGGAGACCTTTTACATTTTATTTGGAGAAGATGTTGTCCACAGCTGTATAATCCCTCCTGCCACAGTTGCCATCATACCTATTAAAATGAACGTTTAGGGCTGAGTATGTGACTCAGAGTTGTTGGATTGCATGTGTGAAGCCCTGGGTTTGATGCTTAGCACTGCATAAGCCAGGTGTGGTGAGGCAGCACTCAAGGGTTAGAGGTAGGTCATCCTTGGCTACATAGTGATTTCAAAGTCAGCTTGGGCTACAGGTGACCCCGACTTTAAAAAACAAAAGTTAAAGCTGACCCAATGCAAGCAACCTACAGTACTTGTTCTATCAGGACAATTGAGCCAGAGGTCTGGTGACAGCTGTCTGGCAGTCCTGTGCAGGATTCATGAGACCAGTCTTGCTTTCATAAAATGAATAAGCCGGAACGTTTGGTCCCGGAACCCATTACTCAGGCTATGCACACAGGGACAGCTTAGATAGGCGGACACATTTCGCTTGCGGACAATTTTAAGTGTAGGACTCATTCCGGCTTGATTCACCCACTCAACTTCTCAGACCCGTGCCCCACCCCCAGTGACCCCTATCTGACCCCAGGTGAGCGCGTTGCAGAGAACAAGAAAAGGGGTGTTGAGGTGAGCTGGAGCTGATTAGGGGATAGTGGGAGCCATTGGGCAGCTGTCTGTCAGCGCGTGCGGGAAACCTCTGCTGTTTGTTAAACTTATGCCCTTCTCCCCGAGCTGAAGTCATAGCGGAGCCTCTTCTTTGATTTGTTTGCGCGGAGCACCACGTGGGATGCAAGTTCCCAGAGGCCTGGCTCGGAAAGGCCGATGGGTCCTGAAAGCAGTCTGTGGCAGCGTGGGCCGGACAAGTGTGCCTGCAAGGAAGGGCTGCTGGACCTGAAAGTGGGACCGGGAATTTCTCTAAAAGAGTTGTTTTGATTTTCATCCTGGGAGGGAACTTGTTTGTGGCCGACCACTAAGACTTGTGGGAGGCTTCAGATGTTTTCCGGGAGCCCAGGTGAGCCTGTGCTGTCCTCCAGGGAGTAACTGTGAAAATGTGAATGTTCTAAGTGTTCTCCCCAAGGCCAACGTGATTATTGTGAAACAGGTCTCCCTGCTGTTCTTGGACTTGAGATAGATGTAAACATCCCTTCCCAGATGGCATCATTTTTAAAATTTAGGGACAGGGTCTCATGCATCCAAGCTGGCCTTGAACTTAGAATTTAGCCAAGAGTAACCTTGAACTTCTGAACCTCCTGCCTTCACTGTGACCATTTTAGGTGGTGCTGGGAAACAAGCACTTCCTGCATTCGAGGCAAGCACTCACTAATACACCCCCAGCTCCCAGATGTCTTTTTAAAATGGTAGTTTATTCTGTAGAATGGATATAGGTTTTAACGTCTTTTTTCCTTTTTTTTTTAATTTGTTAATGCTACTTTAAAATGTAGTTTTGACAGTTCCTAACCCACAGGTATCACATGGCATTCCCTGGCATCCCTGGACCTGAAGTGGGTTAGAGGTCCATGCACAGCCAAATGCTTTAAGTAGACACTTTGTTTTGCTCTGAAGAGCTGGCTCTGATCAGATGAGCTGGGAGTTAGCTCAGCAGTGACAGGCTTATGCCTGAAGACCAAAGCAACTTTGGAAGCCTAGACTGGTCCCATTTCCACGTATGGGGGAGCAAGGCAATGCCTCAGAGGGGACGTGGTACAGCTTATAAGAATTGAAGGTGACCCACAGTGCCATCCCAGCATGTGTCAGCTGTCCATACAGGATTCAGTTTGCTGTTGCTCTCTGCCATCCTCCCTGACTTATCACCCAAGGGTCACTGTATCCACCTCATGGTGGTCAACTGTTCTTCCTGGTATGGGCAACACTTGCAGAATGAGGGCCCCATAGGCGTTGTAAGTCTGTTCCACAAGGATCCTGTCTTGACACCTCCTGATGCTCAGTGTCTGTGCATGGTAGGAATGCCGCCAGTCTTCAGGGCTCAGGACTCTGCCTCAGAGGGCAGTGGTGTTTCCTTTAGCTGTGCTATAAGTAGGGTCCAGGCAGAGGTCCTGCACCTATATCACCACCAACTCTGCCTGCTCTGGATCTTGTGACCACCCTACTGTGTTGCTTATGCCTGGTTAGCCATGTTGACTTGGCCCTACCACCTCACAAGGTAAGGTGGGATCAAAAAGAGGGTATACAGACATTAGTGGAGGCCGGCACCCTATTGGACATGCATATTTGGATGTCTGTGCTTGATTTCCTTAGGCTTTTTCTGAGGATCATTGGTTAGCTGCAGTTTAACTAATTACCACTTGTGTGAGCATCCTATGTGCACATCTTTTTGTGTCCCTAAGGTCATAGTTTTAAAGCAACACGAGGGAAAAAGGGTTTCAACTATTTGTGCTACTGTTGAAAGGGATTCTCTCTCATAACTCAAGCTCTTGGCCTCCCCAGGACTAGAGGCCTATGTCAGGACTGCTGTCCCATGGCCTTGTAAGTTGTTAGTGTGCCATAGTCTCTTGGGACAATTCTTCATCACGAACCCAGCCTTTGGGGTTCTTTGTACAGCTTCCTAATGCTGGGTGAAGAGCAGGTATGCTTCCCAAGCACTTGCCAGGTCCTTCAGGAGAGTTGTGCTGTTTTGGAGGCTGTGGTGTAGCATTATGTTGGATGCTCCTGGTGTTTCTCACACAGCAGGTCTTCTGCTTGAGTTTCTCTATGTTCTGTTCCATTGTGCAGAGACAATAGATGAATACCAAATGTCTTCGCATTCATTCACTCTTCCCCAGAGCATTCTGAGAATCTCACACTCTAATCCACAGGAATCCGGCCACAAGTCTTTATTTCTGAAATACCACACAGCAGGTCTTCTCTTTGAGTTTCTCTTGGTGTTGGCATCTCTGTCTGTAAAACAAATGGAGGAGAATTTGTTGGAGTGAGAATTGAAGCACCCTAATTTGCTTTATGCTCTCTGAGTTGTAGAAGCCCACATGGCTGTCACTTCTTGGCTTCTCTTTCCTAGCCCTGCTGTTTCTTACATTTGTCAGTTTCTTTGTAGAAGAAGAAATCCAGGGTGTGAACAGACCAGGACCTCTGAGCCCTTGTGGAGTGGCTCTGAGAGCAGCTGTGGCACCCTGACTGCCTCATCTAGACCTCATGGGTCTCCAGGAGCCAGTGTGTTTGAGAACTGACATGTGCAGAGCCAGTGTGCATAGAGCCTACAAACAGCCGTGAGCTAAACTTGTGCACAGAGAAGTGAGGTGGAGTTTTCCTGCTGTGTTGACCAGAGTGCCTGGCTAGAGAAGCCAGCCAACCCAGCAAGGAAGCAGGGAAACAAAGTCATATCCAAAGATCTTGAGCACAGAACAAAATTTAGTTCTAGGAATATTTATTGATGTAGAATTTGTTTTGTTAGATAATTATTTAAGTATTGCAAATAGTCTGTATTTAAGAGAACAAAGCTGTCCTGGTGTGGTGACAACAAACCCTTAATCCCAGCACTCTGGGGCCTGAGGCAGGCAGATCTCTGAGTTTGAGGCCAGCATGATCTACTGAGAGAGTTCCAGGACAGCCAGAGCTACATAGTAAAACCCTGTCTAAAAACAATGTAACACATCTTTACATAATTAAGTATTCCACAAGGTTGACTTTAGAGTCCCTTCGATACCTGCTTCTACTGTCTAGTGAATTTCCAGGCTCAGAATTCCAAAATCTATTTATTATTCAGGATTTACCTTAAGTGTATTTTATTGGGTTTTCTAACTTAAAATTATTTGGGAATTTTGCATGTTTTTGAAATCTTTAAAGAAACTAAATAAAACACTTTCTAAAGATGTACGATTGAGGGTGTTAGCTCTATATTAAAAGTTGCTGCAGCCTTTGGGGGTATTTGGAGGACGTACTTTAAACCTTGCTGTGGGCAAGGCTTGGGTGAACCAGGCAAACACTCACACATTGCACTCTCGTCTTCCCCCAGCCCAGCCAGTGGTTTGTTGGTGTGATGCCACCCCACTTGACACTACCCTTCAGGCGTCTCATCTGGTCCTTGGCCTCCAGCCAGCTGGTTCCCAGAAGACCCAGAGGACATAGCCTCCTGCATACAGCTCCAGAGGCCCGCACAGATGGGATTGCCCCAGTGTTCATCCGCGCCCTGGCCTTTGGGGACAGGATTGCCCTTATTGACAAACATGGCCGTCACACCTACAGGGAGCTTTATAACCGCAGCCTTTGCCTGGCCCAGGAGATCTGCAGGCTTCGGGGTTGTAAGGTTGGGGATCTCCAGGAGGAGAGGGTTTCCTTCCTGTGCTCCAATGATGTTTCCTATGTTGTAGCTCAGTGGGCCTCCTGGATGAGTGGTGGTGTTGCTGTCCCACTCTACTGGAAGCACCCTGAGGCTCAGCTGGAGTATTTCATACAAGACTCCCGGAGCTCTGTGGTCATGGTTGGCCAGGAGTACTTGGAGCGGCTAAGTCCAGTGGCCCAGAGGCTGGGAGTCCCTCTTCTGCCTCTCACACCTGCCATCTACCATGGAGCAACAGAACAGCCCATAGAGCAGCTGCTTCAAGAGAGGGAATGGCGTGACCAGGGTGCTATGATCATCTACACCAGTGGAACCACAGGGAGGCCCAAGGGTGCACTGAGCACCCACCATAACTTAGCAGCTGTGGTGAGTGCTGGGTGTGCCCCAGAGGCCTCTGTTTCCTCCTCTCTCTCTGTCCCAGCCTCCTTTATGGTCATCACTGAGTAGGGTCCTGAGATGCTTAGCTGAATGACCACCAAGACTGTGTAGTCGCATAGTCAGGCTAAGTGATTAGGTTGGGATTTTTAAGAGCATCCTAGAAACAGGAGCAATATCTTTGTCGATTCCTGCCTTGTGCATAGCCTTTGTTTTCAGTCACTCCCAGAACCACCTTGGCAAAACCCATCAGTCACCCACTCTGTGTCACCCAACTCACTTTCTAAATAGTATGTGTATATACAGTACAGCAACACACAGAGGAAGGCAGGAAGTGAACTCTCAGGTTCCTTGGCACATGGCATGTGGTTCCAGCCATCAGGTGCACAGGTATAATAGGCTGTATGCAGCATCATTCCTGGAGAAGACACTCAGCTTCCAGACCATCTCCTTCCCTAGTAGAGACACGGGCTGTGGTGGGGCCAGTATCCTCACATTGATGGTGCAGGGAACACGAAGGCGCCTGGCCCACATGGCTTCTCCATGAGAGCTGAGGATATACCTGGAAATCTGCCTTGTGACTCCTGTTACAGCTGAGTGGGTGACCATGATACAGGGACCACAGACAGCTCAACACTGGTAGGCAGCAAAGAACCATCTTTTTTGTTGTTGTTGTTGTTGTTTTTGTTTTTTTGTTTTGTTTTGTTTTTGTTTTTCGAGACAGGGTTTCTCTGTGGCTTTGGAGGCTGTCCTGGAACTAGCTCTTGTAGACCAGGCTGGTCTCAAACTCACAGAGATCCACCTGCCTCTGCCTCCCGAGTGCTGGGATTAAAGGCGTGAAGAACATCTTTATCCTCCCTTCTCTTCTCAGGGTCCCCTGGCCACTTGTCTACTGATGCCACCCACACGCTCTCATCCCTGTTCTTAGGCAGTGCTCTTTGCCCACAGGTGACTGGACTGGTCCATGCATGGGCATGGACAAAGAATGATGTGATCCTGCATGTCCTCCCTCTGCATCATGTCCATGGCGTGGTCAACAAGCTGCTCTGTCCACTTTGGGTAGGAGCCACCTGTGTGATGCTGCCTGAGTTCAATGCTCAGGAGGTAAGTCAGGATCCAGTGCTCTTGGAAGGCCCAGAGAATTTTTGTGTGCCCTGTGACCCGTAACAAGCACTCTTTCCCGCCAGCCTGGGTCCCACAGCTGTGTCAGCCCCAAATGAACACACGGATGCTATATTAATTATGAAACTGTTGGCAGGTGACTAGGGCTTCTTATTGGCTAGCTCTGTCTTAACTATTAACCCATAACTACTGATCTGTGTATTTCTACATGGTCTTGGCTCACCGGAGAACTCCTGACTTGTGCCCTCTCTTCCCAGGCTCACATCTCGACTCCTCTGCCTACTTCATTGCTAGTGTCCTGGCGGGCTCTCCTCCTGCCTTTCCCACAATTCTCCTCCCCTCCTAGTCCCACCTACCTTCCTGCCTCATTGTTGGCGATTGGCCCAACGTTGTTTATTCATCCATCAATAAAAGAAACATATTCAGAATAACATCTCCCATCAGTGACCAATGACTACAAGCTGGAAGGTTAAAGCCACATACATTTATTTGCCTAGCTGCCTGGAGGGCAGCATCTAAAATAAGTCTAGTAGAGCCAAAATCAAAGTGTTGGAGGGAGTTCCATCTGAAAGTTCCTTGCATCTTGCTTTTTCTAGCTTCTAGAGGCACCTGCTCCTGGGCCTGAGGCTGCATCTCCCCATTCAATGCAACCCACTGTAATAGTCATCTCTCCTTTGTAGCCTCTAATTAATGTGCATGTTTAATCAGGGTCATTTCCCTGTGTCTAGACCCTTGGGAGCATGACATGAGAAGCAGCCTGTCCTCTGTCACATCTTCTCTGGTTCCTCTGCAGAGGAACTCCTGCTGGAGGACCCTCTGAAATCACTATGCCCCCCCCCTTTCCAGAAGACAGGAAGAGGGACATGGCATTGGCCTTATGGAGGGGAGAAGACAGTGGGGCCAATATCACTGAGCATGTGACATCTCCTATGCAGGGCAGTGTCTCCAGAGCAGCAGCTCAAGGACACTGCATTCGAGCAGGCTGGGCTCATGCTGTTGGTACTTCTACTCTGGGAACTGGAAGGAGTAGGTCTTGCACCTTTGTTCCTTCCATCTTTGTTCTGGCTCTTTGGACCTTTGCCTGTCAATGCAAGATACCAGAACTGCTGGCCAGTCTCTGCAAGGTGAAGATTGTTGAGAATTGGAAGGCTGTGTGAGGATTGCCTTTTGACAGTCTGGAATTTTTAATCCACTCTGCCCTTGCCTTTGATGACAACGTGATACTCTACAGTCCTGCCCTGCCTGCCTCGTACTAATCATATTGAAATAAAAATGCAACTGGTGGGAAATTTTAATACTTTTATATGAAATATTATTAGAAGTTTATTATGAGGTAAAATGCAAAGTTCACATGAAGCTTTTTGGATACAACAACAACCTGTCTCCTGCCTGTTTCGAGCACTGTCCACATTCCCAAGGCTGCCCCATGGTGTGGCTGCAGTTGAAGAAACAGCTCCCATTAGTAGGAGAGACCTGGAATGGAGGTAGGAGGCAGCATGTGGCTCACAGCTGTGCTGCCTTCTAACTGCTGAATGCTGCTTCCTGTCTCCCTCTAGGTTTGGGAAAAGTTCTTGAGTTCGGAAGCTCCACGGATTAATGTATTTATGGCAGTGCCCACGATCTACAGCAAACTGCTGGATTACTATGACCAGCATTTCACACAGCCCCATGTCCAGGATTTTGTGCGTGCCGTTTGTGAAGAAAAGATTAGGTGAGTGGAAAGAGCCCACAGTCCCTCCCCATGAAGCTTGGTGGTCAGCAGGCATAACTCATTCTCAGTGACTGCAGTTCTCTCCCTTTAAATGATGGCTGTGTGCATCATACATCTGTGTTCTGTCTGTCCTCCTCTACCTGGATACCCCCCCTTCTCTCATCCACACTCAGATGTCTGTCTACCTTTGGTACCTCTGTCTCTCACATTTCTGTCTGCTTCTCCACCTGAGGAAGGCTGAGAGCTGAACCAGCCTCTGCTCTGGTCCACGCTGACTTAGCTGTCTGAGACTTCCCCTTACTCTGCATCTGCTGCTGACTGTCCTCCTGTCTCCTCCCCCAGCTTCTGGACAGGCACTTCTCACAGCCATGAGCTGAGGCCCATGGCCTATTCAGTAGCATGAAGTTTGCTCTTCTCTTTCCTGTGAACCTATGGCTATCATTCCTTTCCCAACTTTATGTTGAAATGTGATTTGCTAACTAGGAGTAATCACAATGTTGTGGAATATTACTTTAACTATGTAGAGGTGTGTTGCTTTTGTTTATGCTGCATTTGTTTAATTATATAAAGATGTATTGCTGTTTCACCTTGCCTGCCTAAAGTGCCTGATTGGTATAATAAAAAAAAGCTGAATGACCAATAGCTAGGTAGGAGAGGGATATGTGGGTTTAGTGGGCAGAGAAAATAAGTAGGAAGAGGACTCTAGGTAAGAAGGAGGAGGAGGAGAAGGAGGAGGAGAGAGAGAGGCGGGGGGGGGGGAGCCACGACTGGACTGGACTGGATGCAACAGGACACCCACGGCCAGACAGACAGAGACAGAGAAAGCAGTGAAAGTAAGACAGAATGAAAGAAAGGTAAAAAGCCCTGAGTTATAAGTTAATTTAAGTTATAAGAGCTAGTGGGACAAGCATAAGATAAGGAAGGCCAAGCATTCATAACTAATAATAAGTCTCCATGCCATGATTTGGGAGCTGGTTGGTGGCCCAAGAGAAAGCCTACTACATAGTATGGCTTACTTGATCACCACACATGGACCAGATCCATGTTTCCAGCAGGTGTAGGTAGATCGCTTCTCCTCTTCTGCCAGAGGAACAGGGATGTGGCAGTGAGAAGGGGACTGAAGCTGGCTGACAGAGTTGCAGGGACAACTTTGATTTAAAACTCCAAGAAGACCTGTGTGGTACTCAGCAGCCACTGTGCACACCACACATCTGAGCCTTGTATCCATAAGAGACTTGCGAATTATCTAAGACAAATGCGATGGTGTTACATTTTTGCTGTCTGCCATTCTCACGCTCCTTTTCCAAAAAGATGCTTTGAGGAAATCGGAGCCCTGTTTCAGATGGTGCTGCTGGCTGCCTCTCTGGGCCCCCACCCAGGCTTGTCAGCTGAGCACTGCGGGGCATTCAGGGCTCAGGAGTCAGAGCTGGGGAAGGATCGGTAGGTCCCATCAAACCCAAAGAGGCAACAGGCACAGGCCCAGCTGCCATCTCTGAAATACAGAATCCTCAGCAGATGTAATGAGATGCTGTGGCTCTTGTTGGCCATACACCTCCAGAGGAGAATGGGGCTGGTTCCCGCTTCAACTTAGATGACACACAAAGGACCTTCCTTTCTGCAAGTTGCCTGCCATGGGATTGTAGCAGAAAACACCGAAGGGACTTTTGAACACTATCCCACTATCACTGCCATCCTCCCCTCCAGTTGCCAGTCCCCTTGTGTGTGTTCCAGCCTCAGCAGCTCTGCTCACATAGCATCTGCCTCCTCCTGCAGGTGTTGGGGCCTCTCCCTCCACGAGGCACACAACCCCATCACCACCATCCTGTCGTGATCACTGTTGTTTAGGACTGTTGGTGAGCAGCATCGTAATTATTCGTGGTACCACCAAAGACGCTGCTTTAGCTAACATCCCTTTGAAAGGCATGCTTACATTTACATAAACACTGGGGGGAAAAAATTTTTTTTTTTTTCAGATTTTGATACAGGGTTTCTCTGTAGTTTTGGAGGCTGTCCTGGAACTTGCACTTGTAGACCGGACTGGCCTCGAACTCAGAGAGCTCTTCCTGCCCCTGCATCCCAAGTGCTGGGATTAAAGGCGTGAGCCACTACCACCCAACAAAAAAAAAAAAAAAAAATCTTTAAAAAAAAAAACACTTTTAGCCCCAACTCAATTTTTCGTGACTGATAGATAGATTTACTGATGGAAGGGAAATGTCCCATGTAGTCTGTTCTGTGCGCTCATACAGGAGTGTGCGTGTGAGCTGCCCCCATCAGAGCTAAGTAAGCCCCTGTGGTTGTGCTGCCTAGGCTGATGGTGTCAGGCTCAGCTGCCCTGCCTGTCCCCCTGCTGGAGAAGTGGAAGAACGCCACGGGCCACACACTATTGGAGCGCTATGGCATGACGGAGATTGGCATGGCCCTTTCCAACCCCCTGACGGAGGCTCGCCGGCCAGGTACCAGCCGCCCCACAGCTGTTGTCCTTCCTTGTCCCAGTGCCCTACCTGTGACTCCTAGTCCACCTGCACTTAGATAAGAGGGACACAGAGGACACTGCCCTCTGCAGCAGACTACAGGGCCAGAAACACCTTCTCAAGGCGACAGCCACCCTCTCCACTTGTCCCTTTTCTACCAAGTGGTGGTGGGGAGAGGACAGCAGGGTGCTTCATTCCAGCCCTGCTGGATCACAAGCTTGAGTGAATAGCGAGTGCCTGTGGAAAGAGCCCAACCCTCTCCAGTCACAGCCCCTGCCTGCCAATACCTTCCATGCCCTCAGGCGGTAGGTGCAGTCTTGAACTCCCATCCTGGGGCTTTGCTTTTCAGTGCTGTGTGTTCGTGTGTTCACCAGTGCAGCTCATTCCCCTCTCAGTGCCCAAAACATAGAGCTGCCCCTACTAGCAACCTGGCAATCATCCTAAAACATCTGGCTCCTTTCTGGCCTGAGCGATGATGGTGTTGTGAACACCATGTACAGGTTTTCTGTGTGAGCATGGACTGTGTCACACAATAAATACTTGGGCATGGGCTTATGTGGTTTTTGTTTTGTTTTGTTTTATTGCTGCCATGTGACTGATATTGTCAGAGTATTTTTCATGTTCATATTTCCACTCTCATGAGTCCTGAAACCAGATGATTCCAGCAGTGACCTTCTTAAAGGCATCCTGGTTCTTCTTCCTTTGCCTTTCTGTGCCATACCCCAGTGTTTGAGGGCAGGTTGGAAATTGGGCAGAGGTCTCTGCAGGCAGGAAATGGCAGGGGCCAGGGCCGAAGCAGGCATGGCTATGCTAGGCAAGAGGCAGAAGTACTAGTGGCATCTGAAGCAAAATGGCATGACTTGAGAGCAGCAAGACCCCTGACTGCTGAGGGAGAACAGGTGACAGGGTACCCAGATAGCAGACTGTCCCGTGGGAACTGGCTCAGTAGAGTGCAGGGTTGGGCTTGGTGTGAAAAGGCAGCATGAGCAGTAGGAATTATATGAGTATCAACCCCTGGATACCACTGTCAGCACACTGGCCATTCAGGCAGCCTGCCTCATGCCTGCAGTGACCATCAACTAACCCCACCATGTCTGCACCAGCTCTTTCCACCATGGCCATAGCTGATGGCAGAAAGAAAATGGAAGGTCAATCCGAGACTAGAGGAGCATCCTGGATCTTCTCCCTTCCTCTGTCATCCTTATTGGTGACTGTCATGGCCTTGTCCAGGAAGCTGCTCTTCTGCTGAGCTCATGGGTCTCTAGAATGAGGAACTAATCAGAACTTGAGTACTGTGGTTTTCAGCCCAAGATTTCCAAGCCCAGCTACAAACGAGAGCTGCAGCAAGACAGAGTGCCCTGAGTGGAGAGGACTGGCAGCACAAGGGTTGGTCACCTCATTCCCTGGGAGCACCACGAAGTGTAGATTCTATGACTATAGAGTGTGTGTGAAAAGTCACACAGCAGAAATTTGTGTATGTCTTCTCACTTTACACTGCCATAGACCAGGGGACAAAGCTGCCCAAAATCACTCACTCGGCTTGACTACCAAGCTGTGGTGAGCACCGTGGTCTAACAGAGCCCAGATTTGGAGAGGGTTGGGGTGACAGACAGTTGTGATGATAGCAAATGAAAGTGTGAAGAGTGAGGCCAGGACAGGAAGGAACAAGCAAGAGGCACCATAGGATGGTCCATGAAGCCATGGAGATTATTCACATGTGGCCATGGGGGGCTATTGCATAAGGCACGGACGATCCTTTACACTAGGCCATAGGGACTATTTCTACAGAGCCTTGGGGACTGTTTGCATGAGGCTGTGGGGAATCCTTCATACAGGGCCATGGGGTCTATTCTTATGTGGTCATGGTGGCCATTTGTGTGAGCTATTTGGGGCCATTCTCATTAAGCTATAAGGATGATTTACATAAGGCCATGGGGGATCATCCATATGGGGTATATAGGAACTATTTCACCCTGCAGATATTAAAGTGTAAGACAGAAGCCCAGGTGAACTGAAAGGAACCTGAAGTCCCTGTCTGCCCCTGTCTTTGCTAACCTTCTGTTGACTGAGTAACAAGATCTACAGATGCTGAACTCAAAGATCACTGGGTAGAAATTCTAGAGTTTCGAATTATTGACTGTATTCCTCACTTGGGCCCATAGACTGAGTGCGGGGGCTGGGGACAGTTGCTCTTCTCTAGAAGAGCCATATGCAGTCAATTCTCTGGCTTGAAAAAGCAAACGGTGGCCTTATCACACCCTTGGCTCAGCCCTCACTGCCGCAGGTCACTGAAGCCCTGGCTTCTAGTCTATTGTTCTGTTTCAGCCAGAGGATCTGAACTTGTGTCCAAGCTCTTGCTTCCTTCACACCATAGCTCCCAGGAGTTCTCTAATGGTAGAGCCTCAAGGCCTTATTTCTGTGGTAGGCAGGGGACACAGTCAGGCCTGAATAAGAGCCCAGTCATGTGCTAACCTGTACTCCTCTGGTCTTCTCTGGTGGCTGTAAGGGGATATTTATAATTCATGACCTTGCTCTTGCTGGGTCTAATCACACTAACTGGGGCTGAGATCAGAGGCACAAAGAACTACAGGGCACAGCTCCAGCATTGACAGGGCTCTGGGACCTTGTCGATGGCTTCACTTCTCAGGACCCAGGCACACAGTGATGCTGTGTGTCCTCACACCCTCAGAGTTAGAAGCCAAAGGCCAGTTCATTGTCTAGGGAGAGCACAGTTTGTCACCCAACCCACATCTTTCCTTGCCGTCACAGAGCACATGGTCCACTCCTGACAGTGATCCCAGTGTCCCACATACACAAGGAAGCATACCCCAAACCCAAGAGTTCAGCTATCCAGTTTCCACCTTCCTTCCCGTTTTTTTGCAGGTTCTGTGGGGACCCCACTGCCAGGAGTGGAAGTACGCATTGTCTCAGAAAACCCGCAGAAGGGTTCTCCCTACATCATCCATGCAGAGGGAAATGAGAGGGAAACAAAGGTGAGGTCATCTGGAGGGTTTTTCTCTGCTGTGCTGGGGGCCAGCCTTGGACAGAGAGATGCTGAAGGATGGGACTAGGGTTATAGGCTAATGTTTCTGAGTTTACCCATAAGGGTTTTCCAGTACCTTCCAGGGACAGCATGAGGGAACTCAGCCTGGGTGTGCCTTGCTCCTAGTTGCTGATTCCAGCTCCTCCCCATAGCTCTGTCCGTGGGGGACATCTGGAGGGGGTCATGTGGTTTTATGAAGGAGAAGCTGGGGACAGCACAGCAGTAATCCTCAAAGACTGGGCCTATGGGGATGTTGAGCTGTCGAGCTGGTACCATCTGGAGTCCTGTGTGCAAGAGGGTGGTTCTAGTTTCATATATGACTCTGAGCAAGCATGGACAAGAGGAGGATGCTGTCTTCTTCCATTGAAGATTTTAAGAGCTAAGAAAGGGGCAGCATGTGTGGGGTGGGGCTTCAGAGATTGCTCAGTGGTTAGAGCACTCACATGACAGCTCACAACTGTCTGTAACTCTAGTTCCAGGGGATCCAACACCCTCACACAGACATACATGCAGGCAAAACACCAATCCACAAAAAAATAAAAATAAATAATTATCTTGAAAAAAAATTAAAAAAAGAGCTAAGAGCTGCTGATCGCAAGGAACGCTGGCCATAGAGAAGTTTAGGGTTCATAGGAAATGGAATTTTGACCCGAAAGGAAATGATTATCCCAGAGACTGGCTGGGTGTTACGTGCAGCTGATGCTGTCACCTGGGAAAGTGAGTGGGCAAGGAGTCTGTGTCCTCCCTTGAGTCAGTCAGTCCCTTCTCCACCATGCTGAAGTCTTGCTGGCAGGCCTTCCAGCACTCCTTGGAGCCCACCCCTACAGAGGTAGCTGTTGGGGTCTTTGTAGGTCTGCCCTTACTGACCTTAGCCTCTGCCTCGGAGAAAATGGTTGTTGGTGCTCCAGAGAGCAAGCAAGTGGGACATGGTGATTCTGAGCTTAAGGCCGTGAAAAATCAGCAATGTCATGAAATGTTCTACTGTCCCAGGAATACTTCTCGCCCCTTCCCTGGTGGGTGGGGATCAGCGGTCTTTTGGCTGCCCTGGAGCTGCCCTGGTGCTTCTCTCTGGACTTTCCCTTCTGTGGTCAGCCTTCTGTGAAGACCACCCTCAGCCCCTGACCTGCCTGGCTCTCTTTTCTCCCCTGACCACAGGCCTCCTCAAGCTTACCCAAGGCTCCCCCCTTACCTGGCCCTGCCTCTGCCACCCTACATGTTGAAATGTCTGTAGTCACCTAACTTTACCTGGCTCTTGGGCCTGTGCCCTGCCTACCTCACCCTCAGCTGTGTAACAATGTATATTCAGGCCACCTGCTTCCTCCAGGCCTCAGTGCATTGATGGATTCCTCCAGGGAGGGTGGGTGGGAGGCTGACAGCTTCATCATAGCAACTCTTCTCACTCAGGGGTCCCTAAACAGTGGGCCTCGGGAATGGCAGAATCATTGTCTAGGGCAGGGTGGGTTGGGCAGGACAGCTGTCTGAGGTTGAGATGTAGCTGCCTAGCACCTCCAAAGCAAACAGGAGTCTGCAGAGAGCTTCCCTGAGACACACTTAACATTGAAAGCATTGGCAGCCATCTTGGGGCATCTATCCTCAGAGCTCCAGAGGTGGGGGAGGGGTGACTCAGGTAGACTCTGAGCAGTAAGAGGGGTGCATGCCAGTATAGGGTTAGCATGGGGTAAAGTTTATAGCAGCTGCTCTGGAGTCTGTCCAGCTCAGCCCCAGAGCAAGCTTGGACCCTCACTCCCTAGAGATCACCAGCCAGAGGCCTGTCCCTGGATTGAGAGTCTGAGATGCCCTGAGATTCCACCAGATGGCAGGCAAAGTGGATGCTGCCTGGGCCAAGATAGCCAACTCCTCCTTCTAGCAGTGCCGTCGCAAAGGGCACTGGCTCACTCTGGCATGCAGTGTTTGACCCCAGCTGGTCAGAGGGGCCCGTCATCACCCAGCTACACCCCAGTGCCTAGAGTTGCCCTGTGCGTGGGCAGTCAGAATTGACTCTGGAGGCAACGTTGACGACTTTAACCTGGTTGTGGTGTCATTTGTGGCTTCTCCCTCACTTCAGATCTAGTCTGGGTCAGGTTTGTTTTTGGCGGTAATGAAAAGGTAGTTCTCAAGACTTGAGAATGAAGTCCAGCAGGTGGCCACCAGGCTCTCGTGCCTGAAGCAAGCAAAGCCACCACACCTGTGGTATCTGTTAGTGAATCAAAAGCACCCACAAAAAGAAATGTGCAGGTGGGGACAGGAGGATGCCCGTGTTGAGATCTCACCTCCACACCTAGGCCTAGATTGTATGTGTTCTTCCAAGACCACAGCACACAGCCCACAGGCGTCCGCTTGGCCCCAGTGTTGTCAATTTTGAGTCTGTTGTCACCTTGCTGATGGCTAACTGCCTTTGACATCCTACTCCATCATCAGGGAAACTGGCTTCCTAGAGATGGTAATATGGTATGGGAACGGGAGGTGCTGTCTACTATCCATGCATGTGTGTGCATATGTATGTAGTGTGCAGTACACAGACACTCGCAGCATTTTGAGTTGAGTTCATAAATATTTCGTTTTCTCATGCCTATAAGTCCTAAAACGTTCATCTGTGAGGCTTCCAGAACATGAGTTTAAATGTTGGGGTTTCCTCCTCCTAATGAAAACCCCACTTGTAGTTAGTGATTGGTAGTGCCCGCTATGCCCACCGCCCTTATGTGTGGCATGGGGGACATGCATCTGGGCTGCTGCTGGTAGCCTGAGAATGTCAGCTCCACAGGTGGAACTTCCTGTAGACATTGCCTTGTAGAGGGTACTTTCTACCTTTGCACAGGGCTGCAGCAGGCATCTGTGCATATGGCCTCTGTTCTCACCCTCCAGGATGAGCAGCCTCTGCCAGGTGCTGCCTTTACTGGGTACTGATGTCCCTCCAGACCCCTCTGGCCCTGGATTCCATGCCACTGAGCCAGCTGTGGTGCTGTGAAAAGAGACAATCCCCAGTTGGCAGGAGCCCTTGTGAGCACACTGCATGCTGTTGTATGTCACACCCTGAGCAGTCTAAAGATGGGATGCTATTCCTTTGAGTGTGTGCCAACATGTGGCATTTTGACAAAATCAGATTCTTTGACTTAAAAGTTTATGGCTTTGGGCTTGGGTGGAGCTCAGTGGTAGAGGGCTTGCCTGATATGCATAAGCCCTCAGTCCCATGTGTAGTAACACAAACAACTAAAGCCCAGGACTTATCATGTGAACACCTCAAAAATTTTTCATACCCTGCCTTGGTTAGGAAAAAACAAACAAACAAAACCCCTCATTTTTATGCCATGTTGTTGCTTTGAAGAGGCTATCCCTGTCGCCCTGCTGAAGCCCCTGAGAGCTATATCATTTTGCATCCCCTCTGGGCATTGGGGACTGACAGGAACACCAGATGGTCACTCATGACTCCTTGCTGTAGATTTCCTGGCCTTTCTAGCCTCAAGGATTCTTGGGGAGACAGGTCCCTAAAGCAGCAGCTGCCTTTGGTTCTCAGATCCTCAAGAGCATATCTGGACATCAGGCTGACAACTTTTATAATCTCAGGAGGCCTCTGGGAGGAGGGGGGGCAGGAGTGGGGTGTTCCTGGATCAAGGCAGTGGTGTCAAAGCCTAACCAACTCAGGGCTGTGAGCTGAGGCTTTCTTTTCTAGATAGGGGCCACGTGCACAGTCCCATGTGAAGGGAGAGGAATGGGTGTCTGGGTCCTTCAGAAGGGAACCAGTATAAAAGGAAGAACACTCACTACATGACAGGGCCTCCCAAGCCTGGTTCTTGTGTGAGAGACCCTCTGCCTCCTCACCTTTCTTGGAGCCCAGTTAGCCCCATAGCCCACAGCACTGGGCACCATACATCTTAGCCAGTGTCCCATGTATCTGCCTCCCTGTAGCCCGGCTTCCTGAGTCTTGCAGTTTGGGCAGGCAGGGAGGCTCTGAAGGAGTGCTGCCTGTCCCTCCCGTCCTGTGGACAGGGCTCCCTCTAAAGTCATTCCACCCTCACAGGTCCCTCCAAGTGGAGGTTCACAGGGCTCCCCCAGCCTGACCCCCACTGTTGAAGAGGTGAATGCTCCTCCGTGCACTAAGCCTGCTTTGTTGGCTGTGATGCATATTTCATGTGCCTTGGCTCTCCAGCTGGCTCCTGCTGCAAGCCCTGTGAGTGCATCAGGCATTGTCTCTTTATTTATTTATTTTTTATTTTCCCAAATTGCTCGCTTACATGAGAGCCAAACACCAACCAGCGACAATAGGGGTCTATCAACAGATAAATGGCTGCACAGCTGTGGATAATGCCACCCTGTAAGCAGGGCCTTTACACAGAACTGCTCCTCTTGCTGAGGATGCAGCAGCAGTAAGGGTGGGCTGGGATAGCTATGCTGGAGCAAACTTGCTTCTCAAAAAAAAAAAAAAAAAGTAATTACCTCATCAGTTCTGCACATACAAGCCATCACTCTGGTCAGCAGACTGTGCTGCTGTTGTCTTCTCTCCCTGTGGCCCTCCCGACATTCTTTCCCCACCACCTTATCTCTGCCATCTGTCCTGATGTGTCACCTGCTGTACCTGCCCCACATGGAGGAGGAGTCAGACATTGGTGTCCTTTAGCTAACTAACAGCTTTTGCTTCAGATGGGGATGACCATCGCCAGGCTATGTGTCCTCCTATGAGATGTGTGTACTTACCCTCTCTACACAGGGCTGGTTAGAAGACAGCTGATCCCAAGTGAAGAATCGTCAAACCAAAAAGCAGGTTGATTGCAACCAGCTTAGCTTGCAGACAGCTTAGCTTCTCACCCCCTCACCCCCAATGTTAATGAGGGTTTTGTCTGCATGTCTGTCTGTACTAAGTGCATGCCTGGTACCTGTGGAGGCCGGAAGAGGACTTTGGATCCCCTGGAACTGGAGTTACAGACAATTGTGTGCTCACATGTGGTGGCTGAGAAT